GTCGTAATCAAACCAGTTGGAGCGAAGTCTTATTTTCATTAGAGAAGAGTCAATTTTCTTCGGATCATGGCCTTAATTGAGGGAGACACGGTGGCCTCATACTTAGAGCGCTCAACTCCAGATCGAGTGGTCCAGGTTCGAGCCCTTGCAGTACACATCGTGTTGTGTTCTTAGGCAAAACACTTTACTCTCACAGTGCCTCTGTTCGCACGGGTGTTTAAATGGGTACCGGTGAACTTATGCGGGGGGGTGAACCTGGGATGCACTAGCATCACATCCAGACTTTACCTTTTTATGGCCTCATTTGAATGCAACGAGAGACATAAGTATGCGAATCACACACTCCTACACAACAGCCTCGACTTTCTCACTTACGAAACTCTTTTTTCCGCGCTTGTAGTATTTTTCATTTTTCTAATCGGTTGTTGTGATAAATTTTGTTTTCGCCAGACGGCTTAAGCTTTAATGTGTGGGATCCCAAACACAATTATGCTGGCGAACATGAACTCTATTGTTCTATTTTTTTTTGCCTAACGACTATCATCTTCTCACTCACTAAGTGACAAATAAGCGATTTTTCGTCGCAGTATTAAAATAGGGACCTTTAGCAGTCAGGACGGCAACACCAAAGAAGACGTCGATTAAAAAAGGAATTTCTATTTTCAGTTTGAATTTTGAAAATGGCTACATGTGTTTAACGCTTCTTACGGTACTACACCTCAACCTCAGCATAACTTTTATAAGCATCGTTGAGTTCCAAATAATTTGTCATAGTGGTTTCCGTTCGCAGACGACGCAAATTTTGGTGATTTCACATTGTTGTTCTGCAGAACACAGCTAAGAAATGTACAAAGTTTTAAAACGCACGTGCTGGCTATTGTTCTACTCGTTAGATATTTTATTTCACCACGTCCTCGTTGCCGTCCCTGTCGTGGTTTGCTGAAGGTCCCTAATACATTTTCCAGCGGATGGTGACCAGAAGAGAGAAAACAGCAGCACGATAATGTCTGATTTCACACCAACTCCGCTTTTGATACACTCTGATCAACCTTCTTTTTACCGTAGATGGTGAGGTTTCCCAGCGTTTTGCACTTGTCAACAGATTCCCGCCTTCAAAATGGGAGGATGCAAGACGTTTTCTTTTAGGATCCTGACAGCACGCGGAACTCTATTTTAATATATTATAACTCTCGTCGGACATCTTTATTCGCGGCATTTGATAGAATTTTCTAATAAATTTTGCTAAAACTGCGCAAAGCTTGGATATCTTTTGAGACGAAAAATTTATTATGACAACACAAAATGGTGAAGAGATTAGTATCTTTGCGCTGTATTTATATTCTATTTTGCTGAGTTTTCACAATATTTAAGACGTGCCTATTGAAAACGTTGATATTTTTGCAGGCATTTGTTTGAAATGAATACTACTCATAAGTTTTTAATTTTACCTTAAACCTAAGAGGGTACCTTGGTTATCTTGTCACCAACGGTCACGTGGCAATTGGATCGATTCTTGCAATAAATAACAAGGTCTATCGTGCAGTACTTTAAAAAATAAGTTCATTTCAAGATTTCCTTTACTAAAAGTATAATAGTAATTAATTTATATTTAAACATTTAAAAAATTTTCATTTCTGGTCAAGAGAGTATCCCCTTACATGAGACCGTGTATGGAACAGCATGAATTAAACAGCAGTGACACAACCATTGTTGCGATTGGGGTTTTGAGTGCGTATTCTATGCCTCGTCCCATAAGAGGAGCAATGACAACGCAAAAAAAAAAGACTTTCTTCACCACCCAGACGAGTTCGCAAACAAGTCAGAGGGATATCACAGATAACTCAGATGAGTTTGCCATGAACTTTTTGTAGCATTCAAAGAATTTATAATGAAGAATATAAGGTGATAAAATGACGCAAAAGGTCGTGTTGCAAAAATTTTTTGTTCAAATTCAAAACAGAAAACCCAGCGCATCCCGCATATTAATGACTACCCTATTCCAAACACTAGTGCTCGACCAATAACTTTGGACACCACTGCCCGATAATCCTTCTTTTAGGAGATTTTCCCAAAAAAGTGACCAGTTTTGAATTGTGGCCATAAGTATACAAAATCAGCCGCCTTAGAACCCAATCCCAAGACAACCACTTGTGGCCAAAATTCCAAAACGGCCACTGGTGGCCTAAATGCCAAAACTACCACTATTACCCAAAATGCAAAAAAAGTCAAGTGGCCAAAATGCAAAAACTGTCACTAGTGGCCAAAATCCCAAAAAAGCCACTGGTGGCCAAAATGCCAAAACAGCCACTAAGGGCCAAAACGCCAAGATGCTCACCAATAACTAAAATGCCAAAAGCGGCCACTAATGGCCCAAATGACAACCACTCGCCTAAAATCCGAAAACAGCAACTAGTGGCCAAAACACCACAACAGCCACTAGAAGCAAACATTCCAAAACTACCACTAGTGGCAAATATACCAAAACTGCCCCTTGTGGTAAAAATGCCAAGACTGCCACACTAGCCAAATGCCAAAACTGTCACTACTGGCCAAAACGTTTAAACGACCACTACTGGCTAAAACGTGAAAACGGCCACTAGTGCCCAAAATGCAAAAAACAGCCAAAACACCAAAACAGCCACTAATGGCCACAACGCCAAAACTGTCGGTAGTGGGCAAAATGCCAAAACTGCCACTAGTAGCCAAAATGCGAAAGTGGCCACTAGTGGCCAAAATGGGAAAACTGCCAGTAGTAGCAAAAACGTTAAAATGGCCACTAGCGGCTAAAATTCCAAAGCTGCCGGTAGTGGCCAGAACTGCCACTCGTGGCCAAAATGCCAAAACGGCCACTAGTGGCCAAAATGTCAAAACAGCCACTTGTGGCGAAAATGCAAAAGTAGCCACGAGGGGCCGAAATGCAAGAACTGCCACTTGTGGCCAAAATGCCAAAGCTGTCACTAGTGACCAAAATGCCAAAACAGCCACTAGTGGCGAAGATTTGAAAAGTGCCACTAGTGGCCAAAATGCCAAAGCTACTACTAGTGGCCAAAAGGCCTTAACTGCCACTAGTTGCTAAAATGCCAAAACTACCACTAGCGGCCAAAATGCCAAAACTGCCAGCAATGGCCAAAATACCAAAACGGCTATTAGTGGCCAAAATGCCAAAATGGCCACTAGTGGTGAAAATTCCTAAACTATCACTAGTGGCCAAAGTGGCAAAACTGCCGCTAGTGGCCAAATTGCCAAAACTGCCGCTAGTGGCCAAAATGCCAAAACTGGCAGTAGTGGCCAAAATGCAAAAAACGGCCACTTCTGGCTAAAATCTTAAAACGGCCACTACTGTTCAAAACAAAATTATTTGTGTCGAAAATGCTAAAGCAGGCACTTGTGGCTAAAATGGGAACACGTTGACTGGTGGCCAAAATGTCAAAACGACCAGGAGAGGCTAGAAAGGCCCAACGGGCGAAAACGGGAACTAATGCTAAAAAATAGCTTGAGAGGCACTATTGGCACAAAGTGCCAAAACGGCCACCAGCGGCTAAAATCCTCAAACGGCCACAAGTGGGCAAAATTCGAAATCGGCCATTAGTGGCCAAAATGGCAGAAGGCAAACAAGTGAACTCAGGGCAGTTTACTGACTGAGTAGTTTACTGAAAACTAAATTGAGTTTGGCGAGAAATTAGATGTTTCCTGAGGACTAAGGGAAGTTCATAGAGAATTTAAAGTAGTTGATCGACAAGTAAAATGAAACTTTAAGAATACTGGACCGTTTACCAACAAATGAAATGCCTGCGGACACATTAGTAGTTGTTGTCAACCATTAGAGGTGCTAACATCTCACAAGGAATTCGCCTACAACTAGATTTTAAAAGTTTGCCGGTAGCGTGGGGAGAGTTTCCCAGCAACTCGATCAAAGCGGTTCGCCGATAACTTGAGAAAGTTTGGCATAAATAAAGGGAATATGTTTCTAAAGAAACTGTGGTGCTGCGTCGGTAGGGGTAACAAGGTAATTTGGTTTTATCAACTGTGTTGATGTAAATTGGCCACCGTATAGCATTAAAAGCTGACGCTTCTGACGAAGCGGTAATACTCGAAACGTTAGCTTTTTAACCCTCTACGGTGGTCAAATTACATTATTGACTCAGTTGATAAAGCCAAATTGCCAACCATTCAGTTGAGTTCAGTATCTCAAAAGTTTCGCCACGGAAGCTCACTGACAACTAAAATGAGTTTGCCAACAACTCAGATGAGTTTTCCAACGGCTCAAGGGAATTCGCGGACAACTAAGGGACATTCGCCCACAACTATAATGAAGTCACGGGCAACTCCGACGAGTTTTCCAACAACTCAGAGGATTGTGGCAAAACAAGGGAGTTGGCTAAAGGGTGGGGGAAGTTTTCTGACGACCCAGACGGTTCGGCGATAACTCACGGAAGTTTCAATGGAACTGTCTAGTTTTGTTTATCGACCGATTTCAGATGTTCAAGTATGATTTGGGACGGTTCTGTTTGATTCCGATGGTCTTGTATGATTATTATTATTTTTTTTAATTTTTGAGAGTTCTGCTGATACTCAGTGGTACCGTTTGACTCCAGATAGTTTCGTGATGTTTGACACCGCACAGTTAGTCTAATTTTGACAATTTCGTCCCATTGTGGATGTTACCCTCTGACTGTACCTGGTTCCTTCTGAGTTTACTAATGCTGTCTGATAACGGATACTCCTGTCTTATTTGGTTTGGTTTGGTCCGATACTGAACAGTTCTTTCAGTTTCAGCGACTGAGTGCCAAGTAAACTAACTTTTAAGTAATCCAAGAAAATATTTAGGAAATCCTAGCGGAAAAAACCACTGTTATGCCAAACAACTCACTGAAAGCAAGATAACAACTCATTATGTCGTGCTTACTTTTAAAGAAAAGGTTTAAAGTGTATAAGTTAGGAAAAATGCAAAGAATTCCAGACTTTTTCCCAGCATTTGTAAGTACCAGAAAGACTCTTCATACTCAAAACACAGGATTTACTCACCGCAAAATTTCACACAGTTGCGCATGTCAAACTTTTCATTCTCCTAACTTTCATCAAGATGTCTTAGAAAAGTAAAAATAATTGGTCTCAAAGTACAGGGTTCATTAATATCTTTTTACACACAGATAACATAAATATTTAAAAAGTGTAGGCTGTAAATGTACCTTGTTAACATCCAAGGAACCAGAATGCTACATTTTTTTGTTTTATTTGTTTGTCTGATTGATTAAGTTTCACGAGATGCATCAATTCTCAATCTTCTAGAACAGTTGTTTCCATCATTTCCTTGGCAGTTTTGTGTTCCTCTGTTGTACCAAAGTCTTTCTCTGTTTCTGCCTGTGGACAAAACAAGAATGGAAATTAATCTTGAGCTACGGTATCATCATTTTGTGGAGTTTAAGTTTAAGTTTAATTTATTCGCCACAGGAATGGCAGGAGAAAGGAACAAAACTTTCGTTCCAATTGACACCTAACCCCTTTATTACCCACCCATCCCACCCCGGGGAGGACATCCATCACACAGTAATCTCGTGTGTGGGAAATTAACGTCTCCTACCCCAACCCTGCAGGAGACGGGACCTCCATTTATCGTCCCTATCCGATAAGACTAGAAAGTCTAACTATTTGCAGATATTATTACAAAGGCAGCACTTTCTTCTCAGTTAATTAAAGACCCAGCGCTCTACCAATTGAGCTAACTGGGAGGCGGTAAAGGTATCTGGAGTTGTGATGGAGTTGTGAAGGTATCTGAATGCATGCACTCTCTTAAACATGTAGCTAACTCACCCGGTTAGCTCAATTGGTAGAGCGCCGGACTGTTGTGCGGGAGGTCGTGAGTTCAAATCCGGCCGGACCAACACTCAGGGTCTTTAATTAACTGAGAAGAAAGTGCTGCCTTTGTAATAATATCTGCAAATGGTTAGACTTTCCAGTCTTCTCGGATAGGGACGATAAATGGAGGTCCCGTCTCCTGCAGGGTTGGGGTAGGAGACGTTAATTTCCCACACACGAGATTACTGTGTGATGGATGTCCTCCCGGGGTGGGATAGGTGGGTAAAAAAGGAGTTAGGTGTCAATTGGAATGAAAGTTCTGCTTCTTTCTTCTGCCATTCCTGTGGCGAATGAATTAAACTTAAACTAAACTTAAGTTTCCATATGGAACATATTTGAGTTAGGTTTTTTAGCCAGACATTAATGTGAGAATTAGTTCAAAAAGGCTAATTTTCTGTCTTTGATCACCATTTCAGAAAGTACATGTAGCCAGCACAAAATGGTCTGTAGCAAGGCGCTTGCCTCCTCATAGATCTCCTGAAGTACAAAGGCATCACTTCAAGAGTTTCCCGCAGCATGCTTACATCAACATTTTTTCACTTATATTTTATAGACTTGCACGACGGACTTTGCTGAAAAGGAGAGACTGCTCATAGTCTAAATGGTCTGACAGCCAGAGGGATTTTGCCCCCAAAAAAAGGACAACAGAAATTCCCCTAGCCCAAGGCAGTTTACAAAAACATTTTGGTTGATGAGAGGTTTTAAATACCATTAAAGAAAATAACAAAAATACTTGTACTACTACAGTGTCACCTGATCATGGGTGCAGATAACAGTCATGGTAATAATTATATCCTGTCAGACCTAGTTTGCCCAATCATGAGTTAGGTTTTGGCCAGAAGTGAAAATTTTTGGCTCTTGTTCATGACACACAGGCTTCACTTGGTCTATATATCATGACCTTGAGCCAAATATATTCCTGTCCAACCCTCCCAATCTGTCAATGAGTACAAAACATGACCACCTTCAGTGTTTGATCATACCATCATATAAAGAGCAACTTATTCCTTACCACAAGATTTGTTAACTCATTATAAGCAGTCTTGAGCCGTCTTTTGCAGTCTGGAATCATGATCTTGGACTCCTCAAGTACTTCAATCTGCCATTTAATAACATAATTTAAAACAACTTTGCCTCTGTAACCTTGAGGGAAATGTATTGCAGCTCCGTGGAAAGAGAACTACCAGTCGTCAGATCTGCTGGTTAAACCCTTTTACTCCCTAAAGTGACCAAGTTGTAATTTCTCCTTACAAAATCAATGCACTATTAAGCAGACAAAAACAAAGTTAACCATCACCTGAATATCTGATATTTTTGGATCTAACATCAGTTTCTCAAAGCTAAACTTGCATGAAATGTATAGCAGACACAGGGCTGTGGTCTAGCAGTGACCGGTTGCCCCTGGCACCTTGCTGTTGCTCTTGGGCGACTCAGGAATCTTAGTTTTTTTCATAAAATGCATATGCTGGGCACCCTGGATTTCACCATTTAAGAGCACTGGGCTCCTTTTAATTTTTCTTAGAGTACAGCCTTGAGACAGTGTAGAGAATTGATATTAATATTTTAAGATCTTGGGAATGAAAAGGTTACAGAGTTGACTGGTCACATGCATCAACAGACAACTCTCTCTACTACCAGAATATTTTTTTCCAGAAATTTTTTCCCCTCCTTTTAGTTTTCTCTAAACAAACAAATGCATCCATAATCAGTGCTGGACACTAACTTTTCAACTTACTAGCCAAGTGGTTAGTGACATCTTAAATGTTACGACAATTTCAGTTTGTTTACTAGCCAAACTGGCTAGTGGAAATCAAAAACCACTAGCCAAAACTGCGCTTCTCCTGGTCTGTGTCTAGTGGGCTAACAACAAGCCCTGCATAATGATGGATGACCTTATGCTAAAATCTAGACTACAAGCAAGCTCTCAGGAGTGTTTCTTAGCCTGCAGGAAGGTATGTGCATGAGGCCTTGAGCAGCGCAAATCAGCAAAAAGTCTGTTAGGGGTCTTGCATGCTTTATTAGTGCCAGATCCCCGGCAAACCTCTCCCAACCTGTCTCTAAA